AACGTCAACTAATCAGCTAATCAGCTGATCAGTTGACCAATTTAATTGTTGATCCGACTTGTTCATGTTGATACTCGCGTATTCTTAATTAAGTTGGTGGAAGTCCAAAAATAAATGAAATATTTGCCGAATTGTACCAGATACAATATTATTTATGGTAAGAATGCTGCTAGCAATGTAATATTTAACGAAGTTTAACAAACACGTAATTACAGGAAATCAGCTGATTATACAACAAGTCGTTGCATCACTTTCAGCGAAACGGCACACGGAAGATTTCTCAGGTGCCGTTTGACGTCACTAATTGCTGATGTCACTTTGAGGGAACACCAATACCGCAACGATACGGTACGAGCCATCGGCCTCGGTGGTGTAGTGGATAGCGTGTCGGGCTGATATTCCTATTGTACCGGGTTCGAATCCCACTGGTAGCATTGACTTTTTGATAACATTTTTTCCATATCAGCAAGTTTGGTTAGTTCGGTTAGGTTATGACAGTTTAATTTTATAATTAAAAAATTATAAAATTCAATTTTAGGCATTTATAATTTCATTTTATGAACAAAACTAATTTTTAGATTAGTAAACCTTTATTCGATTTTTCCATTATCGGCACGTTTGGTTAGTTTGGTTAGGTTATGACAGTTTAATTTAATAATAGAAAAATTATAAAATTGTCTGTTTCTTCAGACGCAGCAGTTAGTGACGTCAGCAGTTAGTGACGTCAAACGGTACCTGAGAAATCTTCCGTGTGCCCCACCGCACTTTCAGTGGCAATGACAATACACGAAAACATAACCTCTCTAAAAAGTTATCATTAGTGATTGTTAGTAATTAAATCCAGATTGATAGTAATTAAAAAACGGTCGTAGGTAAAGTAGTGTACGCAACTCGCGTTAATAGTCTTTACGACACTCGTAGAAGTTTTTAAGGCACTCGCCAAGGCTCGTGCCTTAAATTTTCTACTCGTGTCGTAAAGACTCACTTAACGCAATCGTTGCGTAAACTACTATTAACAACTGTAATTTTCTCGTCCTTTTCAAATGTACTTTTTAATCTATAAAATTTGTCCAGTTACTCAATGATGATGTAATATTAATTAGGTGGAAACTATTTATCGTACTAGACTATACTGTTTTTTGTTCCTACCACGTATATTACGGGATGATAATATTAAAGTAAAGTACTGTAAAGTGGAAAAGAGTAATTTTCAATACGGTATAAGTTAAACCAGATGTATTTTTGCTCATTGCTGAATACATAATGCAACGCAAACTAGGACAGTATCAGTAAATTTAATTCAATTTATACAAGAAACCATAAAAAGATAAAAAAAATGTGCTTTAAAAATTAAGTATAGTGATAAACGTATTACAGAGTTTCTATGGTTCAACATACGCTAGACACGCATTACATAGGTTTGGTAATACGTATGTTATACCATTTCCCATCATAGGCATCCAGTTTGTATCTAGTTTGGTTGTTTAGAACGCCTGACTATATAATGTGTATGGTAATAAGGCAGTCTTAATGCCGTCCCATCTACTCCCCCAACCCCCTCGCAGCACCCACACCCTTGCCGAGTTATTTAGATTAAAATTGGTACGTCAATTAACACATTACTGGGTGTATTCGGGACGTCGAGATCGTTGTCATTTTGACGTTTATGGACTTATAACCTGATAACGTTATAATCCTTACACGTTGTATAGTGTGACTTGATTATATTTTAAGCCACATTCTTCATCTTTCACATAAAGACATACAATAGATACGGCCAATTACGTGGTGTGAGCATGTTTAGAGCCTTAATTTTTTATACCTAATTCAACAAGACTTTCTTTGTGTATTTAATTGTTATTACTTGTGTAGCTGAGCTAATCTGATGGTTAACAATAAAACCCAAACAGTTTAAAATTTGTAGCTATACAATCGGACAAAAGAAAATTTAAGTTATGGCTCATAATCCACAGTAACACTAAGCGTCCGTTGTCATAATTTTAATTTGGATGAATAAGGTGCGTTTAATGTCCGTGTTTTTTGGCCCTTTCACGACACCAATAATAACTACAGGGTCGTTTTATTTATTTAGCTCGTTAATGAAACAAAATATTCTGAACCAGGGGTTGCTTTACGGAGAAGTAGAACCATTCGCAATCACAACCGGTATATTTGTTTGTATCTTTTTATTTGTTTTATCAACGTAATCGAGGGGCAAATAAATTATAGAAAATAATTTACCAACAATCCTAAAGTGATTCTTACTTATATTTTATTCGGACACCATTATATATACAAGGAAACCTACTTAAACCTTGCATTGTTTATCTCAGTATTATCTGAACTGTTTGGAAGGGGCGGGATTGGGATCATATGTGTCTCATAACATTGACTTTATGGCGCTGTGTGAATAAAGGAACTCTGTCTAGTCAATGAACTCTTTAGTAAAGGATTTCACATTAGAATAGATAACGTTATTTCAGTCTCAAGAAAAATGGCGAATGGTTGATCATTTGTTCAATGATCAATGCTTATTATCTACTTAGTGTGTACTCATAAAAATAGTAGCCCTGTCGAAGTAAACCTGCAAATAAAGAAACGTGCAGGTGAGTTTTTATTCAAACAAAAAAAAACCTTGAGTTATTGTGGTTTGGTTGTAATTAAAAAACCTCAAAACAAAGTAAATAAATATGGTGAATTTTGTAAAACAATCGGTGAATTTTTGGCAAGCAATCGATTTAATTCGTAAATATGATATGAAATTACATTGTACTATGTACTTTTTAGATCTCAGGAATCAATAGGTGTTTAAATATTCCAAACAATCAAAAATGTGATTATTTTAAAGATTTAAATGGTAAAATTTAATTTTATAATTCATTTGTTACTTTGAAAATCTTCATAACCTATCCTAACCACCCTAAAGTTAGGTTAGGTTAGAATTATTAGGTGTGGTCAGCATAATACATAAGTACCAAAAAACTATAAGTATTGATTTTTTCTAGACGCAACTTATGACAGGCCCTTAATATTTCATGGTCTAATCGAACTTTTAACAGCGGATACCCTGATAAGTAAAAGTTCAGTAAAGATACGGCAATTGCTACTTATCTGTGAGGAAATTTTCTAAAAAGGAACTGAACCACTTTGCTATTTTAAACTGGAATATATTATTATTTGACAAAAGACACTTTTGTCAAATAATAAGAAACCTAGTACTAGGTCTCAGGATAAAACCCCTCGTAAAATCACATACTGTACCTAGTAGCTAAACCTTATCTGTGTGATAAAATTTTATTTGAAAGACCTAAACACGTAGTTTATGGTAAACTTTGTATAAGTAATTACGCTAATAGTAATTGTAACACTGACCATTGCATGGCCGATTAGTACAGTTAAATACACACATACATTAAAACAGACAGTTTTACGAAGTCCTGTTCTACTTACGCTCCCCACATTACCCCTTTTACAGAGTGCAGTAATAGGTGACGAACTTAAATACTTTAACTTAAATACAGAGGGCAGTGATTGTAAATTGTACATATCCCTCTATCACTGATACGATAATATATTCCTATTGTTTCAGTAATAACTTACGAACGGAACAAGCTTGATATAATCAAAAACAATACAAAAACATTTCTCCGCATTGGTCGCCTGGCGCCAGTAAACCAGACAATGTCAAAATATCTCATAAACCCTCAACAGAGAAATTGGACATTTGATTGTCTTAGTGGCAGAGCCAACTTATCTTTTGTTTTCGTGTGTTCTGATTTTAACATGTTTCGTAATCAAGATACTGTATCAATCAAAACTATTAGGTTTATTACATTTGATGACGTTCAAATTTGGCAAATTGGTTTATTCCACCCTAAGCTGTTAGTCCATAATTTCATTAAAAACACACCTCATTGGCCTCCATGTTACAGCAACCCCCAACCTTTCGTTGAACCATTGACGTTGGATACAGAAGACGACATCCCATCTATATGGATCAGCTGTCGCCAATTTTTTACTAAAAAAGAACGTAGTTGTGTGAGCCAGTCACAGATTGCACTAGTGTTTAAAACTCTATTTTGTACCTTATTTTTTGTTACTGACATAGTTGCTGGGTCACAACAGTTGCTAACTTATAGCTCATAATAAGTCATTCCATCAGTTTAACTTGGTAAACACCATCGTGTAATCGGCAGAAATCAGTCATTTAGATCAGCGCAATCTGTAGGTGGCTTACATCAACTAAGAAAAATGTGATTAAAAACCTGGGTTGAATCTTACATTATTTAAATAATAGTGAATGACAGGTTTAAGTAAATATTTAAGCAAACATTCTAACAGACAAATGGAAATTAGCTTAGTTAGCAGATATGCTGTGGTGGAGGTAATTTTAATAATTGTAGGCTAATTGCTTACATTTTTTTCAAAATACGATCAGTTATTTCCCGAAAGTTAACGATGGTTGTTGTTGCAGGTGCGTGTATGCTGGAGCGTCGTCCAGGGCTTGTATTACACTTGTTGTGTCTCTGTTGTTTAACGATGGTTGTTGTTGTTGCAGGTGCGTGTATGCTGGAGCGTCGTCCAGGGCTTGTATTACACTTGTTGTGTCTCTGTTGTTTAACGATGGTTGTTGTTGTTGCAGGTGCGTGTATGCTGGAGCGTCGTCCAGGGCTTGTATTACACTTGTTGTGTCTCTGTTGTTTAACGATGGTTGTTGTTGTTGCAGGTGCGTGTATGCTGGAGCGTCGTCCAGGGCTTGTATTACACTTGTTGTGTCTCTGTTGTTTAACGATGGTTGTTGTTGTTGCAGGTGCGTGTATGCTGGAGCGTCGTCCAGGGCTTGTGTTGCAGTTGTGTTGCTGTTGTCGTATCTCTTTTGTTTAACGATGGTTGTTGTTGTTGCAGGTGCGTGTATGCTGGAGCGTCGTCCAGGGCTTGTGTTGCAGTTGTGTTGCTGTTGTCGTATCTCTTTTGTTTAACGATGGTTGTTGTTGTTGCAGGTGCGTGTATGCTGGAGCGTCGTCCAGGGCTTGTGTTGCAGTTGCTTTTATCAGGCGCCTCATACAGGGACACCGTCTTCCTCAGTAAGCCCCACGCCTTAGCACCCGCTATAGCACCTTGGCGACTGTAGTACCCACTACAGCACCTAGCACCTAGCACCTTAGCGCCGTGGCTGAGCTGTTGTGATTGTATACATCCTGGTGTCGCATCTCTCTGACAATCTGTGTGCATTCTGAGTTGTTTGTGTAGTTTCTACGCAGTTCAAATGCAAATTCTCCTCTTCTTTCGATGTTGTCATTGTAGCATCCTTCTATATCTTTTGCGTACTGTTCAAATACAACTTTCATTCTTTCCTCGATGTCATTATTAGAATATTAAAGCCTACAGAGATTTAAAACGTACAAAATACACGTTTAGCTCTATATTACACACTGTAGCTTTTACTTCAGAAGCTAGTTTTCTATTACAGTTTCTCTATACTATATCAATAATATTGACTTCTTAACTTGGCAGTCTTTTTTCTCGAGCATGATCTTAAATATGCATCTTACCCTTCCAAAGGTTTCCCGGACTATCTGACCCAGTACTTCTGCGATATCAAATCTTCAAAATAACTTGTGTTTGTACAATTACTTTTCTTTTAGCAACCAAAACTACACCATTTGACCATCTTTAAATATCATTGCAATATTAATTGCACATCTCCAGTTTCCACTTCTGTGTCATTCTTCTACCTACCTTAGCACCTACTCGCAACCCAATGTTGGGTAAATGTAGCTACTGTCTTTTCTCCCTGCTCTGGCAAATGTCATTCGCTGTATTTTTCATTTCCATTGCATGTACAACGAGCTGTTAAGGTAATTTACGTGTCGGACTTATTTAACTTGTTATACACTTTAGATTATTTATCTCATACAGTATTTGACTATTCTTAATTACTTAATAGTTTACTCCTAGAAAAAACAGCTCTTCTCATACAAAGGTAAAACCTCTTTATTTCTTTTTGCTATTTTTAGCATCTGATTCGTATAATAATGCATGCTTAGTACTCGGAGGAAGGTGGAAAACCACATGTTTGACGAAGTACTGAAATAGTTTACGAGTTTTAGTAAAATGCTCAATCTTTTACTTAACCAATTATTCTGAAATACCAACAGTTACAAGGAATATATCAGAATTGTCATTGACACAATTAAAAACACGTCATCTTCAAAGGAATCTAGATTATTCATAATTTCTTTAGATAAGATTGTTTATTAAAATTCCTTAATTCGATGGAAATAATAATTATACTTAAAGAAGATTAGTTAGATGTCAATAAATGCATATCTTTATCACCAAGTCCGAGTAAATGCAACAAGTTGTTTTTCTTTCGTATATCCACTTGGTCCATGTTTAGAAGTGGCAACAAATTCGTCATGTATTATTCATTCGACACCTTCCCTTAAAAGTGTTATGAATATCTTACACAATGATTCACTGCTATATTACTTCAGGTTCACTCTAAAAATAATGCCTTTTTAAAATGCAAATAACAGGAATACAATTTCTAAAATACAAGTTATGATTGAAGAATTTAGTTGATCAAAATAAAATAAAGTAGGTCAAACTATGTATACCTATTGCTGGCAATCAAATCAAAGTCCAACTTAGAAAACTATGCCATTAGTTTCATCCGCTTAAAATGCAGAAATCTTTTCAATTTTTTTTATTGGAATAATTTCTTTGGTATTATAGATTTTATAATTTAATATAGTTATTAGTATTTTAATTTAATAGACAATCCCTTTTGTTAGTTAACCTAATTTTTGTCAAAAGCACTTCAAAACATACTCTCTCGTACTAACAATTGACTACTATTGTTAACATCCATCTAATTGATACACCTCCGATTAAAATCTCCGGTTTTACCATAAAATTCGAACGGATACCTATTATAATGTTGTTAATGTAGCGATGGTTAACTATTCAGTGGGAGATGAAACGTTTCTTTCTTGGTAGTTCAATACTAAATAAAATTATGAGCAAAAATTTCAAAATTGCTAGCAGCAACATCTCCACATATTCTTTTAACAGTTATATGAACATAACAAACATGTGTTTGTTATAACTTAAAGGTCTTTTCCTCACCCTTCATCTTTGATTATAGTGATAATTAGGATGTTAAACCTGTTTACAAAATGTTGCTTTATATTGTCATAAGAAATTTAATCAACAATAGTTTCTACATAAAAAGTAATCGTGCCTAAAATATGAAACGCTCAACAACAAAAATAATTAAGAGTTCATGAAAAAAAGATTTATAAAACTAACTCATTACTAATAGAAGCTTGCGAAGCTAGATGAGTTACAGAAAAAAGAGTTAACAAAATGTTCCCTCTCAAAAAATTTCAAAAATTCAATTCGATAATATACTGTTAAATGGTGCATGTTCCTCGGCATCGCAGTAGTTTATGAACTGAATCAGCTGAGATGTATAAACAGTGGTCAAAGTACCTTATTAGGCTAGGCATTTTAGACTTTTACCTGGGCAAAATTAATAACAAAGCAAAACCAACTGGAATGTGTTAGGCATGCTTCCCTTAACATTTTGTGAAAATTCCCAACTTTTCCCACTGTAGCAAAATCCGCCATCTTGGAAAATGGCGGACAATCTGTAAAACACTGCAAGGTTCCACTTAAAAACTTATTGTTCCCAAACCATTCCATCTAGAAAAGTCTAGTTAGTCTTAGATTCTTCGGCATAATATTATCTACAAGAAAATATCATATTAAATAATAATAATATGACTTTTAATAGTGAAAAAACAAATTAAATTTTAAAATATGTAAATAAAAGTAGACATATCCTAACTTTTTTGGGGTTTTCGCCATTATTATTGAGTAAATGCAGATTTTACCTGCAACAAACATGTAGAGCTTTAAATTCCGCTTCATTTCCATATATAATATAACAATGTTTGAGCAATATTGACGTAAACGGCGAGTGTCAAAGTACACTCTCATGTAACGCACCTGTGGGACCAAAATGCATATAGTGTGGTTGTATGGTTGTATAAAGTGGCAGAATACTTCAGTTCTGGCGGGGAATATGCAAATTGAAGTGGTAGCATAGTATAGATGTCCCTGAACGTAAAACTGCCCAGACCCCAATTTTTAAGGACCTCGGTCGTCCGTAATGACGTCATCAAGATGGTGGCTGTAAAAGGATGCTGGGTCGCCATGAATCGGTTATAACCTCCAATTGCCTGAACCGATTTTAATGAAATTTGGCATACAAGTGCTTGAATACATTATCTCAGCCCAGGTTGTCAATGGTCGAGTTTGATTAAGTCGTTTCAAAATGGCAGCCGTTAATAATTAAAATAATACAAATGTATCAGTTTTTTGTGTTTTCAACTCCCTCCAGAGATCTGCATCAACCTATTAATTTTCCTTGCAATCACAGGTTGTGATGCCGTCTCTACTTTTCATGGAATTGGTTCCCCCACCACAGCAAACCTGCAGACCAAGTGAGTTCCATTTGCCTATTTTGATATTCAATTAAATCTATTTCAATAACATTCGTTTTCATGAGTACCTAGGTTTGCTGCCACGGGGTGAGTTATAAAGTTAGTTTTTATTAATTTAATAAGTTCTTCACAGTTTTTTTAGATAAATTATGGATTTTTATGTTTTGATGGTCAAAAATGAGAAAAACCAATGTTTACCACATAAATCCCCCCAATCACCCCGTTCCCATGGTCCGGTCAAGCTTGTTGGTGTACTTATTCGAAGAAGCATAGGTTTACACGTTTGTACTAAATTTCATCGAAATCGGATCATTTTTGTGTGATTTATTGTGCTAACGGACACACACATAAACAGGGTGTTCAAAAACACCTACATACCAATTTTAGGGAAAATAATTACTTTGGTCCAATTCAAAATTTCAAAATGGCGGGCATTTTAATTTTTAAAATCAAAATTACTGAAAATGGCAGATTTTATGAAAAAGTGTCAAGAAAACTTTTGGTTAGCATTTAAATTTCCTATCAAACTACTTCCAGTTCAAAACGATTGAATAAAAATAATTTAAATATTAAGACTTTTAGTTGTTAATTTAAGAAAACCTGGCTAGCTTAGCCTCATTCCGACTATATTTACAACTAAAAATCGTAATATATCAGTCATTTCTCTTAAAAAATGTTTGAACTTGGTATCGTTTGATAGGGAATTTTAAATGTTAAACAGAAGTGTCCTTGACACATTTTCATAAAGTCTTCAATTTTCAATAATTTTGGATTTAAAAATTAAAAGAACGCCATTTTAAAATTTTGAATTGGACCAAGGTAATTTTTTATCTAAAATTGGCATATTCTACCTTTACAAACATAGCAAGTTTCATAAAGTTCAGTCAAAATAATCCAAAGATAAAAATTTTAATAAAAAATTACAAAACAGTAGATATCTGAACGAAACTATGTTCTTCTTATTTTGGCACAAGGGATCAATTTGTAAATTTTGTTCCTACCCTTTTTGAACACGCTGTTTGTATAAATGTGTGTCCGTTAGGAAAAATTATCCGATTTTGATGACATTTGGTACAAACGTGTAAACCTACGTTTCTTCGAACAAGTTCGCGAACCAGCGTGATCTTACCATGCGTTAAATTACCATGGGCGGGATTTAAGGGGTAAAAATTGGGGTTTCTTATGCTTAAACCTCAAAACATGACATTCTCCAATTTATGTTTAAGCAATTACTTCATTTCATTACCACATTTCATATTATTATATTTCATATTATTTATTAGTATTTCATATTTGTTAAAATATTTAATTATTGATCGCACTATAACTATCAATCTCAACTCAACTCTCCTGTAAAATGGCGTTTGCCGTGTATGTAATAAATAAATAAATAAATTCCAAGATCTTGAAAAAAAACAAAAATAATTTAGTATATTGAAGTGTATTTGTACGGTTATAGGTTACGGAGAAAGTTCAATTTTTTAAATTATTCCCATGTTATTCTTACGGAGAATACATAAACTGTTGTAGTTTGCTTGTTTATGGATATATTTTATGAAACTTGGCAAATG